AGTTTTGAAATATGATTGTATGATCCATCATGCTCTAAGCATCCTCTGTCATGCTTTCATGGTTGTCCATTGTACCCTTGCTATCAGCTATCACCATCATGGCAGCGTGATGAGGATGCCTACCTCAACATAGTGCTCAAGCACGCCTGCTCTCTCCGCCAATACAAACCCTACAAGTATCTCAAAACCCAGCCTAGACGTGATGAGGACAACGAAGGGGATACGGCTACAAGAAGTTTCTTCTGCCAGCGATGATCTTTTGGTGCGCCTAGCAAGAAAAACACGACTGGTATAACTGAACAATGGGAACCATAAACCCTAAAACCCAAACTAGCAGGAATGCTTCTTGTTCTTGTTGGATCCCTGGAAAATCTGGTCTACTCCTTTCAGGAGTGCTTGTTACATCGCTGCAATCTGCCGCTCCGGTGGCTATGAGTCAGTCAGGTTTAGGGTTTAGGGTTTAGGGCAGTCGGCCCTCACTTCTTGCCCCCAATAAACAAAAAAGGAAGGTGACAGAACAAATTTCGCAATGGCCTAGAGGAACATCCCTGCCAAAATATCTCCTATACTCCCCAAAAAGCCCCATGTAAAGGTGTATTGCCTGACTGATCCCCGAAAATCCCAAAGCGACTGAGACCATGAAGGCAGAATTTCCAGCCCCTACAAAAAACAACACCTTCACTTTAATGCAAGGATCACAAAAAACAAAAAACAAAAAACCTTGTTCGCGACAAACTCTGAACACGAACATAAATCCTAAACCCTAGACCCAAGTCCGATCCCTCAACCCTTCACCCTCGATTTGAAAACCTCACGGCCCTGAACCCTGAACACTGAAACCCAAATCGGAACCCTGAATCCATAACCTTTGAAAAACACTGCAACCACCTTAGAACTACAATAAAAAACTGCTAATAATTCCTTAGGGTAATACTAAAAAACAGATTTAACCCTAATCCCTGAACCCTGATCCCTAAACCCTAAACCCTAAAACCTGAAAAATGGAGGGCGGGCCTGCAAGTCCAAATCTTCGATTTCCTCATCGTCATCCTAGCAGCTCGGGCAAAATGCTTCTTTTCGGGAATTTAGGAGACCAGTCCCACCACCACGAGGCATACTAAAAGGGTTCAGGGTTTAGGCCTCGGCATACTCAACAACTGGTAGAGTCTAGGGTTTAGGGTTTAGGGTTAATTGGGGAAAACTAGCTTGCTGACAATCAGAATCCGCAAGTAACGTCGGTCGAAGACTATGTCTGCGAATTCACAAGCACGATAGAGGGATGTTGGCGACCCTTGTCACTATAATCGGGACTAATCTGACTATCATAAGACTCTTGCAGGGTCCTTCTTGTAGGGATTGTGGTTGGGAAAATTCGCTTTGTAAAGCTTGATCTGTTAGCACACATTCTACCCAAATACGCTTGAAAAAGTGCTACCAAGAGGTGCCTAGATGTTCCTAGTGCACCAATTAGTAGGACCGCCTGCGGGGAATTGCATACTGAGCTGCTTCCCAAGTAATAAGTATGTATGTCTCTAACTGTGTTTCTGCTACACTTGGGAAGCTTGAAGATCACACTGGCTACTTGACTTTCTTGCTAGAAGTAGGCACCCCCAAACTTGGCATTGCTTGCAGACGCCATTACCCTAAACCCTAAATCCTAAACCCTACAGCAATACGCGGTAGCTAAAAGCTGAGAAGAACACCAAGAAATCCAGATCTTCAACCCCAAACCTTGAACCCCTAAACTTGGGTACTGCCCCCACCCAGCGACAGCCTCTAAGACGGGTATTATGAAGGGCTGTATGTAAAGGCTACACAGGCTTATGTCTATATACAATTTATTATCTAACTGTTACTGACTGGGGGCGGCACCCAACCCTGAACCCTCCAGCCCACAAAAGCCCCAACCATAACTCTAAAGCCACTAACCCCCCTGAACCCGGAACGTGGAAAACCCCGAACACTGTTCGCCATGCCTCGCCGAGAGGAACCTCCACAGACTGAGCTTGGTCTTGTAGCAGCGCCTCAAGCAGCCACGGCAGAATGGGCTCAGAACGTCGGGGATCAACCTTTCTGTTTTAAGGCGTAGGGCGTATGGTCCCCCTTACCTAGATAGAATATGGGGTATATGGGGATCTTATTCTAATATACCCAAAGGCATATTCTGTCTACTTAGGGGGGACGATGTGGTCTTGGATACCATTTCGAGTCATGCGCCCTTGGTTTCTAGAGTCCCTTGCAGGAAAGCAACCTGACTCCATGCCTTAGACCCTGAATTCCTCAACCCCCGAAACCCAAACCCCTTCAAGGCGGCCGGAAGAGACCAGATCTTTGACACCTGAACAACCGAGCGGCAAGACCTAAACCTTAAACCCTAAATCCCAAAAATCTTGCACCTTAACCCTGAATGGTGCATCTGAGGCCTCGATCCACAATTGAGCTGCAGTATAAACTCCTAGTATCCCCCTTAAGAAGCCCTGTAGAATCCCCTATACAATCCCTATATAGCCGCCTTTAAGGAGTTTAGACTATGGTTCAATTGGATTTTGGCAGCTTCCTGAGTCCTGCGCATTGCAAGCCTCTCCGCCGGAACAGCAGAACCTTGCAATTTAGGGGGAATCCCAACACTGAGGGGTGCCCTTTTTTGGATTGCTATGAGTAGGTGTAATATTTGGGGGTCTATATTAGGGTTCCCCTATTTCAGGAAACTGCCATTTCAAGGATTCTAAGGGCTTTGGAAGTTTGGGAATCGAGTGAAAGGACGGGATTCAGAGTCGAGGCTAAAGGTTTCAAGTCTGTCCGGGTGGTTTTTTGAGGCTCCGGGCCGTGTACGTGGGGCTTAGGGCTTAGAGTTTGAAGGATCAGGGCTTCGAGTTTAGGGGTTTGGATTCAGAGTTTAGGGTTTAGAGATTAGTTAGCTAGGTTGCGAATCGCGACTCAGGATCCGAGAGTCAGGAAGTCGATTGTAGGTACTGGGCTTCATTTCTCCACCGATCCAAAACGGTTACAAAAAAAGACGAAGATCCGTGAGAAAGCAACTTGTTTCAAATTATCATCCCGGCCTCTTTCAGGGTAGGCAATTGCAAGTTAGAAGTTCTTGTTGGGAGCTTTTTGCCTCCTACAACTTAACCACTTCTAGGCACTGAAACTCGTGCTGGGTTGAGGATATCTGCCATTACCGGGGTATATATCCCTATGATTTCTATAGTGGTACTATATTGCAGGTAAGTTGTTTACTATTCATCGCGCACAGCTTTGGGTGATTGGTTTAGCTTGGCTCTCTTCGGCTAGCCAACTCAATCAACCTTTTGCGGGACTGCGTTTCCAAAACTAGCAGCGTCCTTGAAGGTTACATAGGCTCTAGTCTACATTCCTAGTATTCTCTTTAATATCCCCAATACTTGTTACCTAAAACATCCTTTATATCAGCTGTAGTCTAAACTCCTAGTATTACCCCTAATAAGCCTCCATAGAATCTGTAGCTCGTCTTTTATGGAGTTTAGACTATAGGTCATGTGGGAAATACATAGGGGTTATCAAGGGATATGTAGGGCTCAGGCAGTAGGGTTTACGCCTGAGAGTTGAAACAATTAGGGATCCCGTTTGGGGATAAGGAGGACTAGAAGCTTTTCATGCATATAAGGGGTCCCCCTGTTGATGGAAACCTTCATCTTCATCTGCTTCCTAGTAATTAGTAGTGTAGGGAATGAGGGAATGGAGCGTGATGTAAATCCGAAGTCATCATGAAAAACTATCAGGTACTGCTGTAGGGATCCACTCCTCCATCCCCTACTAACCACTCATGAGTCTAGGGGTAGAAGGGCTCTTCTCATCCTCCTACAACGCAAAAGTACAACAATATAAATCCTGCCTCTACGGCCACCACCAATGCCACTGCGACGAATCACTGATTTTCAATGCTTTATAGGACTAAAACACGATGGCGTGGTAGCAGCAGGAGGAAGGAAGAGAAGAATGCTTGGAAGAAGAACTCAGTACCAGTCATAGTAGGCCGGTATGGCAATCACTTGTGCATGACAGTATATCTCCCCCGCCATAAAAACAATTATTGCGTCATTACGATTTTTATGTCATTGTACTGTACTGTATTAGGAATAACGATGACTAGGGGGTGGGAGGTTTCATTTAGTTGTTGGGGGTGGGAATGATTAGCAAGAAAGTTGCATCATCCGAACATTAAGGTGCTGCCGTAAGTCCCATCTCAGAAAATGTAGGCGCACTATCCACCGGCAGGCCACATTCTTTCTCACTGGGCAAGTTTTACATCGAGGCGGGTCCAAAAGTGGGAGGCTCTAAACCCTATACCCTAAACCCTACTGTAGACCAACTCCATCATCGGCAGCACGCAAGCAGCTGAGGAATGTACCCAAAGGAGCCTGAAAAGAACATCCCGGCTTCTGCTAGCAAAGAAGCATTGCGTGTTCTGAACTTGCTTTAAAAACCTAGAAATTACTAACCCTAAATATTCTTCGAAAAACTAAGTATTATCAATATTATGTAGCCGTCTTTGGTGTGTCTTTGAGCCACGAACAGGCCCTGAGCAGAGAGTGAGATTGGGAATTTCATGGGTGGGATAAATGATAAACTTATCGTTAATGTCTTGAACACAAATATTAGTAGCATTATGACTAGCATTAGCATTGCTACTACTATTGGCATTCTTATGATTGTTGCTCTTGTTTTGTTTCAAAGTGTCTGTTGCGACTGCTTGGCAGAGCCTAGCATGCTTTGTGACTATAGTGGCAACTCAGACATCTATCTGTTGAAAGCTGCGGGCACGGTGACATGTGCATCATACCTGGGAGTGAAGGGTCCCTTTCAATGGGCTTTCTTGACGAGTTAGGGGGTAACGTCGCCACTGGCAGCGTCACCCTTCAGAGCCCCTTGCTACACAGCACAAGTGGCCTTTTCTCGCTGCTGGATCCCATGTGCCTTCGGGTGCAGGTACTTGCCAGCGAAACTTACAAGCTGACACTGATTTAAAATCTCTCCTCTTTATGAAAGAGGTCTCTCCGAAAAGGCAGCTTCAAGCCTTCCCAGAGAGAGGTCCAGAAATCGTCAACCTTCATTGGCTTGGTCATCGGGTCCGCCAACTGGCATTCCGTTGGTACCCATTGCAGAGGCAACTTTGTTGCCCACTTCTCGAACTGAAGCTCTTGCCTAAAAGCAGCCAAGTCTATTGGCAATCTACGATCAGAGGGGATGCGAGGTACTCCGGCACGGTGGAGATGATCAAACACGCTCTTGCAGTCGGTTATGCAAAGGAGCGGCCACCTGTTCCTGGCGGCTTCGACCTTCACGAGCCGTCCCTCCAACAAGGTGGCAAGCAAAGAGCGCATGTACTGGCAACCCTCCAAAGCTTCGACTGCAGACATTGTTTCTGCTCCGAATGTGCTTCTACAGACGCGCTTGCAGGACTGGCTCCTCCATTCCAGGAGACTTCCGGCGGACTTTTCGCCGTGCAGGAACTTCTTCGGAAAGACCATGATCAAATGCCCGAGCTGCAAGGCGATCTTCGAGTGCACCTTCTTGGCCATCCGAGGTCGATCGGTGGTGTAGAGGTCGCGGATCGTCCCCTTCTCGACCTCCTCCAGGGTGAGTTTGAAGCCATCTTCAGCCTCTTCGTGTTCCGCATTGGCCCATGCGGCGTCGTGAAAAGTCACGAACACTATCTCTCCGAGGGGAATAGGTCTGAGGACAATCCCCTTTTCTTTGTGCCGGAGGGCTCTGGCGGTCAGCGAGTTGGAGAAGCGCACGTCCTTGACAAGAGGCGTCCTCTGAAGTTGCTGTCCAAGGGCGACTCTGCACTGAAGGTCCGGCCTGCTCTGCGTCGCCAGCCAGCTCAGGGCCCCGAGCAAAGATCGATTGTCGATCGCCTGCTCCTCCGTGGCGGGCTCGTCCCCGTTCTGTCCCCGGGCCACCTCGACTTGGAACAACCTTCCTTCGCAGAAGCTGGCCTGGTTCACGTAGATGCCGTCGGCAGTGACCTTGATATAGGAGCCGGTGTACTCAAACTCGTCCTCCTCCCAATCCTCGACAGGGAACAGCTCGCTGATCCTCCGCTGCAGAGTCCTGTTGGTCTCGCGGGGGGGCGATGAGCAGGAGGTCGTCGACGTGAAGTGCCAGGTAGCCAGCTGGCTCTCCATTGTCGCCCTCCTTGGCCAGGATGAAAACGCAGGGGTCGAGAGGGCAAGGTCGGAACTTGTAGTCTCCATCCGCGAAGGTGAAAGTTTCCGACAGAAGTACTTGGCATACCCGGTCAAACCACATTCTTGGCGATTCCGAAAGGCCGAATATACCTTTCTTGACCTTGGCCAACTGCCGGGGGTCCACCCCCTCGATCCCGTCACGAGGAAGGGATAGCCACAAATCACGCCGCAGTTCTAGGCCCTGCAAAAAGGCGGCCTGCACATCGCCTGCGGAAGCTGTCCATTGTTTGGACGCGCACACCTAGACCAAAGCAATCATGGTGCATCGACCTCTATATTACTGCTCGACCCCAAATCGGGGTCCTTGTGTCTGGCTGCCACCAATCTCGATTTCGCCCGCCAGGGGGTAGACGGGGTAGCCCTCCTCTTCCCCATGTTCTTATCCCGATAAGCAAATCGGGAAGTCAAAATTCTTTCCGCCGGAACTGTTTGGCGGATTTCCTCGGAGGCCTGAATGCCCCGGAGTTCCAAAGCCCCGGTGGCAATGTGCTCTGCCCATTGTTTGCCTTCTGCTTCCCGAAAAAGGGGACGTACTTCAGGTGGTATCTGCGACCACGGAATCTCCTTTTCTAATTGCTTCTCCCGTGACCTGGCTGTCTTTGCGGGTTTCAGCATACAAACAGGGTTGGCTCGAGGCACCCCTTGTCCTTGATCACCCGGCCCTTTTGTTCGATGCCTCTTGAGCACCTGGGGGGCGGCCTGCGGCATCTTGTTGCAAGATGGCATAGCCGACTCGAGCACCTGGGCACAGGAATTTAGGTTGTCGTTTAAAAACAAATGGGGCAACCTTTCGGGTAAGATTTATGTAGGGTTTAGGGTTGGAGCCCTTTTCAAGAATTCAGGACTTGTTTGAGATTGCGCAGGGGGCTGGGGCGAAAGACTTTTCAGCTGAAGAGAACACGTATCCGGGTCTAGCAGTATATTAAGACAGGAGGTTTGGGGCAAGGGTTTGTGTTTATGCCTAGTGACACGAAGTTGTTCTTTCAGCTCCTCCTCGGTCATCCTTGATAAATCTCGCATGGTCGCGTGGTTCTGCTGCACAAGCTGAACCCCAGCCCGTAACGTAGAAGTAGAGAAAGCCCTCGTTGGAGCCGAGGCAAGCATAGCAGGAAGCGTTAGGATGAGTGCCTACACCGCACCGAGCCGCCGCTTCGGTGGGCCGACGTTGTCTGCCACGAGGTGCTCCTTCGTCCTCGCCCCCGAGCTCGGCCATCTCCTCGTCGTCCGCCTCCACGTAGTCCTCGATGTCCACGTCGTCCTCGTTGAAGGCCTCTTCCTGTTCGTCGTCGGCTTGGAGAAGGCGTTCGAGGTCTTCTCGGGCGGCCCGAAGGGAGCGCGGCTGGTCCAATCCACCTCCCATTCTTGGAAGTCGCCGGCTTCCTCCAGTAGAAGACTTGCTCGCCAACCTCTGGACGTCGTTGGCTCACCCTTGTTCGTCCCAGGAGGGCTCGCCGGACTCTTTCGTCTGTCTGGACCTGATGAAAAGCGACTCGGGCACTTGTCTGAATCGCAACTTCTCTGGCATGACTGTCGTCGATGACAGGCTCATCTCCGAGGCCAAAGGCCCGGCGTCCGTTGATCAAGTCCTCAGGGATATTGGCAGTGGAACCAAAGACGTGTTGTGCTGGCGAGTAGCCGCTCGTCTTGATCAAGTTGTTCTTGGCAGATGATACTGCCCCGATTGCCAAGAGCAGCTCGCCCTTCGTTATGGCCATCTCATCACTGATTTTGGCGAAGATGGTGTTCCACAGAGTGCCTTGTCTCTCTGTACACCCTGCTTGCCAGCGCGCCTGGCCCGCTGCGTGCCGGAGCTTGGTGCCGGTGTAGTCTCCGACTCTAGACAAAGACTTCTCGAGTCCTGTCTCCACGTCAATGGCAAGGACCTTGGGAGCGCCGAAGACGTTCAACCAGTACTCACAGAAGGCTCGTTCCAGGTGGTACGTGTCCTTCCGGGAGACGGCCACAACGACGTGGTAGCTGGAGGAGAAGTCGACTATCAACATCAGCTGGTGCTTCACGCCCTCGGAGTCGTGGCAGTACATCAAGTCTACCCCGACAATCTCATTGAACCGGAGACACGATCCAATCTTGGTAGCTGCCGTCTGCAACGCACTGCCAAAGGTCACTGATTGTGCTAAGCGCCCTTTCATTGAGACAAGAAATCCCCCATGTTTCCCGCAAACTCCCGAGGACTTGCAAAAGAGATTCCTTTTGGAGAGTGTGCTTGGTCTGCCACTTCCGGGGATCAAACAGTGATCTTCTGGGGACTAGATGAACTCGGACAAGGGTATTGCAAGTCTCAATCCAGAAATCACTTGTCAATGTAGTATTCTTCCACCATGCTAGGAAGGAGTCAGGGCGCAGGCTGTCAGCAGTGAGGAGGTTCTTTATGGCGGGGCCTAATTGTTTCTCGTAGAATACGCGGGGAACCTGTTCTTCGGAACTCACTGATGCAACGAATCCCTGATCTGGCATGAAGTTGCCTACCATGTATACCTCGCGCACATTCAGGATCGAGATGCCGTGGTTCTCCCAAACCTTGGGGAGCTCAGAAACATTAGGCTTGGCAAGCCCACGATGGTCCACGCAGATTGCGGGGTGGCCGCTAGGAGTGGCCTTCAAGTTGAATTCCCCGCTACTCACTGCACGGAAGTCTGCCACATTCTTGCCCAGGTCCAAGACTAAGCCAAGGTGCGCCAAAGCCGGTCTCGACATGAGAAGAGGAATGTCTCCATGAATCACGGCGGCCTTCACTGCCACCCACTTGCTGCCAATGGCCATGAGGATAATGGCGGAGTAGTTCGCCTCATAAATCTTGTGGGCGGCACCAAAGCGGAAGGCATCCTTTTCGTACACGAAGCCAGGATCGAGGCCTTTGCCCTTGATGTAGTCGAGGTATCGCTGGAGCCATCCGGTGCCCACGACGGTCTTCGAGCACGCGGTGTCAAGCACCGCCGGGAGCTCTGCAAGGTTCACCGCCGACAGCTCGCAGATCTCATTTGTCACATGGATTGTCTGGACCTGGTTATCGTTGTTCCCAGCAATGGATCTCCGTTTAGGGCAGACTGCATCACGATGCCAATGTCCGCGTTGTCCGCAAGCTGAGCAATGGCTCTTCATCTTCGCGGCTTTGATGCGGTCTTCCGCCATCTTTTTGCCATTGTTTCCTTCGTTCTGCTCTATGCCACGCGCTTTGGTGAAGTCCTTGTACTTCGCCTTGGCCGTCATGTAGGTGACGTAGAGGTCCTCGTCGTCGGATCCAAAGTCGCCGTCCGGGGGGTCGAGCTCATCGCCATCTTCAGTGTCCTCGTTTTCCGCGGCCTCAGTCTGGTTGACCACATGGGCCCGGCGGTTGCTTTCGCACCGTCCGCCTTTCTCCCAAGGCTTCCGCATGGACCTGTCGAGGATGATGGCTGCAGCTTGGAGGGCCTTCAGGGCATACTTGTTCCCGACACTGGCCAGGAGGCTAACCTCAGTGGCCTCATCCAGGTTAGCACGGTCGACAAACAGCCATGCCGTCGCCACGTTTGGCAACTTGCATCCACACTCCGTCACCCTGGCCAACAACCTGTTGAACTCCGCGGCATAGTCCCTGAAAGATTGGGAAGGTTTCCTCTTCAATTTCCGGAACAAATCGCTCAAAGACCTTCCAACCAACGTCACCTCAACGTCAAGGTAGTGCTGCTCTATCCAGTCACGCAGATACTGAACTCCGTCAGGTTGCCCCAAAAGCTCAACACTCAAGGACTCAGCATTAACCCAAGCCGACCCCTGGAGATTCTGATACAGGACTAGGGCACGCTGGTCCTTGGCCAACTTGGTCATCTTCTCCCACGCTGCAATTTGCCTCGGGTAGCTACGAGCAGACATCCCGAGGTCGCCGTCTTCACCTTCTCCGCTGAAGGTGGGGATGATGAGCTTCTCGGAGGATCCTTTGCCCCCGCCACTTCCGCGTTCGGGAGGCTGCCATGCTTCCTCTTGCTCGCGCGTAGGGGTCGTGCTCGGTCGTGTAGTTGAGGTACCTCCCGTCCGAGTCGTAGACGCCCACGTAGACCACGCGGTCGTAGAGGTCGTGCCGCTGCCATCGCCGCCTGTAGTCCTCGAACTCGGCCCTGGCTTCTCCCACCAGGAGTTCCAGCGTTTCCAGTCCTCCTCGGACCAAGTGGTTCGAGTCCACTGGGCTGGTTGCCTTTCAGGTGCCGTGCTCGGAGTCGTACTCCCGGAGCCGGATGCGTCGGACTGACGCCGTTCGGCTCTTCCTTCATGTCCGGCTTCTGGCCGGCGTTGTCCTTCAGCATGACCTCGTCGATCTTGCCATTCGCCCCACTGCCGTCCACTCCAATCGCCCCACGATTGTCCTTGGCCGGCGTTATCCCCAGAGCCATTGACGTCGGTGCTGTCAAGGCCCTCTGTTCGCACATCGTTGTTCCAGCCATCCCTCTCGGCCGGGTCGGTGGTTTCGAAAGCCGCACCGGCATCGTCAGCTGCAACCGTGTCCTTGGACACTCGCTTGTGGCTCCGCCGGACTCCAGGAGGCCCAGGGGTCCGCGGAAGACATGTCCGAACCCACTACCCAAAGGCTACGTTACTACAGGAGCTCTGTCAGGCTCCGCTACCAGTGACGACTTAGGGGGTAACGTCGCCACTGGCAGCGTCACCCTTCAGAGCACCTTGCTACACAGCACAAGTGGCCTTTTCTCGCTGCTGGATCCCATGTGCCTTCGGGTGCAGGTACTTGCCAGCGAAACTTACAAGCTGACATTTCTATGGGCTACAGAGGGATTAATTTACATGCTGGGGGTACCCATCCTCATCATGCAGAACATGCCTCTGCGATGAGTCAAGCATGCAGCAGCAACACACAGGTTCGATCTGATATCTGGCCACAACTGACGTGTCTTTGAGTCGTAAGATCATGCTCCTCTGTATCTAGGCACGTAGGCGTTCGGAATCTGATGCAAATACACCGAGCTCTCGTACTTCCAGCTGGGTTTCTAAGCCATTGCGAGTATACCATGTACTCGTCACAGTTGCTACGAAAGTTGTTGATGTCAGCCTTGCGATCCTACACTGCTGTGTCCTACGATGACTTGCATCTAATATGAACATTCATTTTCTTTAGTGGTCTCCTTGTGATTCCCTTTTGGGTTCCGCAAGGTGGAGGTCTCCAAGAAGCGAGCGGAGACACTCAGGGACGGCCTCAGTTGAGATTTGGTTCGCATTTTCAGTTTTCAGGATGCAGGGTTGTTTAAAAAAAATCGCAGGCGGCGCAGGTCATAGGGGCAAACAGCAAGTTCCCCAAACTGTTGCTCAACCATAAAAACTTCAATGGGTACCTATTCTCAGACAGCCTTCGTGGTCGTCTCTGTGGCAAACACCGTCCTACTACTGGAGCAGGTGAAAACTGGATCCCAACATGTACAGCTCGAACATGATGCGGTTGGCAAACACTACATGGAGCCGGTATAGCCTGCTTATCAACCCAATAGTCGGTTTTTCCGGATCTTATATGCCCCAAAGCACTACACGCCCTCTTAGAAGAACACCCAAACGGGACCCCTGCCTAACTTCTGGAAGCACCCATACAACCCTGGGGCCTAATTGCACCAGCTGAGCACAGCAGTGATGCGAAGCAGCATCTAGTGGACGGCAACCTTGCTACGCAATTTAAACCGCCCTGAACCCTATTCTAAACCCGACATCCTAAACCCTACACCCTAGACCGGAAAACCCCCCCAAACCCTAGATCCTAAACCCGACACTCAGACCCAATACCTCTTTCGGCTTCCTCAGAATCATAAATATCTCCCAGACCGCAGGCTCTGCCTGCCCCGGGACTTCTACGCAAGCGCCAAGCTTCTCAGTTGCGGAAGTGGCAATCGGAGTTGTGGCGTGGACCATGCATCAACAACAGGGGGATGTAGGGCGCCGAAACTGAGGACCCCAGAAGTAGCATAGTCAGGTCCCATATGAGCTACGGACTGAATTTAGGTTGGGGGGGACCTATAGGGGACTATATAGGGCTTTTGGGTGGGACCTACCAAGGGATATACTACAAATTCAGTCCAGGTCCCATTAATCTTGGAAATTCAGGTTGCCAAACTCCAGTTATTGGTCAACTCATGCAGATCCAGCCCTCTTCGGTTGCAGCGAACAGGTTGGTGCAAGCGGCCTGGTTTAGGATTTGGGGGTTTCCAGAATTAGGGGTACCTTCTTGACGTCCCTATAAGGATTAGTATATTGGGGTCTATATTGGGGTCCCTTGAATTAATTGAAACTAGCGGTTCGGCCTGGGGTTTTGAGGGCAACCTATGATTCTGGTTATCGTCCGTTGCGATGATTTTTTGTTGAGGTACATTTGGCTCGAGCCACCTATACAAAGCTGCTACACTACTAGAAGTCCTGGGCTTGTGGTGATCCGGGTCATACCCTACACCCTAAATCAGGCAACCCTCAACAACTAAACCCTAGACTCTAAATTAGGAAACCCTAAAACCCCAAACCCTAAACCCTAAAACCACTGGGGCGCAAGGAATCTCCTCAGAATGCCCATCGATCCCCGGGGTCTCTAGGGACCATCTTGGCTCGAACAAACCCCAGGTTCATAAAGGAGCCGTACTGTATGGGGTCCAAGCACTTAGAAACGGGCATGCTCATTATAGTTATCTCTGGGGTTATAAGGCCCTTAGGGGATGATATTGCGACCAAGCATACTCAGGGTTCTGAGGGAATAATACTGCACGGCATTCAAGCTTCTACACTACAAGCTTCTAAAGTGGCAGGACCGCCCGTTCGCCGGCCGGAGGAAGCGCGTTAGCAGTCACAAGACATCGCCATAGCGAGGTGACACAGGACACCCCGTGAACTGCAGACAGGGATCCCTCGGACTAGGAAGGTGCTGCTACTGAGAGTATAATAATAAGGATTATAATCGAATTATAATATGTTGGGGTCAATATTAGGGTTACCTAGATGCAAAAGGTACTTGATACAGAGGCCAGCAGTTTAGAACACTGATTCCTTAAAATCATAGAACACCTCTGTCAAGACCATTGTCCTGTGGAGGCTTCACTTCACTTCCAAACTTTGTGAAGCTTGGAGGGTTTCCCCGTTGCAAGGAAAGCTTTGACGGTGCCTGTTGAAATCAGCGCAACCATTAGAACAGGGAGGGGCCGACCATGTGGTTGGACTCAACCACATAGAAAGGTTGCGCCCCCACATCTTACTCTCCTTTGGAGAGTTCAGTTGCAATTTTTGAACCAATCATAAGCTACATGCACCAGGCAACTAGGTTGGCTCGGATCAAGGAGGCAGCATGTCCACATCATCGGTCAGCATCTCCGAACGTCGTTAGCCTTGACACACGGGGTCTCTTGCAATCTTACCATTCTTTTTAACCGTGATCCTTATTCTGCTCACCACTAGCAGCACCTAGCACGTCGACAAGCGTTATCATTACCATCATCATTAGTTTTGTGAATTCGTATAAGCTGTAAGACATGCTCGATGTGTTGGGCCCGGGCATCGTCTTGCTCAAATCGCCAACCTGCCTGCGAACGGTTGAAGTAGCACCCCAAGCAGACATATGCTCTCCATGCAAAATGTCCTGCATTATTGATCCTGATTCCAAAGACTGCTTATGAAGAGAGCGCAAAGGACTGAAGTAGAGCTTCTTCCAAGGGTAAAGTCATGATCCTCATATAGATTTCCACATAACACATGTCCTCGCAGTCCTTGCACTCCAAGCCCTATGCAGGGATCACATTAGCGCAAGCCACGCGAAAGCACGCATAGCACATGACATGCCTCGAGATGATGTGCATATCTTTCTTGAGCCTGACAGCACAACCAGAATGATGTGGAGCCAGCCACCGCACGTTACAAAACAAAGCGCATGCAACTGCATAAATGTCTGCCAGAATTATGACACAGGCATCACTCGCTCACTGATATTTCTATAGTCCCCTTAAACAGATACAATATGGGACATGTGTGGATCTTATTATAATATACCGAAATCCATCTACTTAAGGGGGACTATAAATTCCTGGGTGCAAGGATTCAGCTCATACGCCCGAAGGCCTGTAGATATCAATGGCGCGGCCTTGCCCCATAATCTGCCTGAGGACTAATGTTTGAAAGGGTTTATGGTTTAGGGGTTAGGGTTTAGGGTTTAGGGTTGAGAGGTTTAGGGTTTAGGGTTTGGGGTTTAGGGCTTAGGGTTTAGGGTTTAAGGGTGGCCCTTGCAGCCATGCTGCAGCAGGGTGGCAATGGAGTTGACAGTGGTTTCTTAGCAACGAATGACAGTAAAAGCATCTGCTCAGGTTCAGTTTAGGGTCAGGGATGTAAGGGTCACTTGAAAGAAACATGCACTTGAGGTTTAGCGTAGGAGGACCCCCCACCCTGTAATAGTTTTTTCGCAACTTAAGAGGACCCTAACAGACTCACCGTTATCCCTTATAGTCACTACTACAGGGTGGGGGGTCCACCCAAGTACGGTATAGCTGTTGTAGCTTTCCTTTTTGAAGACACTGCAGCGAACAACCTTTGGCCAACCAAAGCCTGCAGGGTTTAGGGTTTTGAGCTTGAAAATGGCGCAGGCCAGGGATTACCATCCAGCCACTGCCTAGTATAATACTGATAAACTGATAATCATGATAACTATTCTAGCCATACTAATTTCAGTGGAATAGTACTAGTGATAATAATCGGTGCTCGACATCAGGACCGGGAACTGGGAACTCTGTGTTTGGAACACCTCCAAAATCTGGGTTGCTGTTAAGGAACCTAAATTAAGTTACCATAATGGGTATATATAGTAAATAATAAGGTTTCCCCAATATAGTAACTTAATTCAAGTTCCTTAACTGCAACCCAGAAATCTCAGCCGCGCGCCTAATTGCGTGAGCAAAGTCAGCCTGCTGGCGTTACAGACCCCGGGCAGCAGACATGGTGTAAGCACAAAGTGCACTTTAAGGGTTTAGGGTTTAGGGTTTAGGGCACTGGCTTGGAAACTGAGCATGCTAGAAGAATTCTGGAATCCAGAAGCCTTTCACTACCATCTTTCAAGATGACAGCTTCAGACTCCTCCGACTACTGCTTGTTCGGGCTCTCTGCACTCAGCTGCCTGTACAATGGCCCCGCTCTGTGTGATGTCCAGCAAGTCCTGAGCAAACGAAATGTACTACAACAATACCAGACAATGATCTCCAATGAAACCGCAGTTTCCGCGTGACGTACTAGAAAACTTGGTAGGCATATGCGTTCAAGGTCAGAAGAATTCCTCAGTTATTGCCCAAAACCAGGCACAGCATACCTGCAGTTTCAAGCACTGCAAGCGTGAGCATCAAGAAGAAAAACCTTTGAATATGACAACAGGATATATGATGATGGCGTACAAGTTCGAAGCTTTCGATGTCAACGCCTGATGATTTTGTAAGGGGATATTGGGGCGTTTGCCAAATGTGCAAGGTCTACTTCATGTGTGAACGCTGTGACTGCTGCTTTCCCTTAACCTGCAATCCGAATATGATCCAAAAATGCTGTATCGCAATGTAATACAGAACAAGATAACATGCCTACACCTAAACCCTAAACCCTACACCCCAAACCCTTCATTTCAAGCCCTAAGCCCGACAGGAATGCAGACGAAGCACCCACAGCTCTGACGGAGTGTAGCCATCGGCCACAATCCCCAACTTTCCTTGTTTTTCGTCATGCTGTGTTTTTTGTCCTGGTTTCGGGTTTAGGGTCTAAAGTTGAGGGCTAAGGGTTTGTCCGTTTGACTTACACACGCGAGTCGGTGCCATTCCAGGGTGATGCAGCCAAACTCAGAAGCACATCAAGCATGAGATTAGGTAAGAACATAGACCCCAGACGAAAACAAAAAGAATAGCATCACATCATCATGAACCATCGTGTCATCAACAACAAGCCAATGCCAAAGAACCCCAAACATACCCGAAAAGAAGTGCACACACAACCGAGCTTGCAGAAGCAAGTGGCCTGGTCTACCCTGAAAACATGGAACCACTTCAGGCCACTCTGAAAGCCGTGCCTGGAGGAACTCCTTTCTCAGGATTTCATAGCTGCTTTCTGGGTATTTTGCAGACGGGCAGCGAAATAACATCTGCGTCCTCTCCGTGTAGAGTTGAGTGTAGAATTCTTTCTTGCTGACGTCGCCTGCATCCACAGAAAGACACAAGACATGTAGCAAGGTGTCTCTGAAATTGCATCAGTTTTTTCTGAGGTCCAAACAACATCTGTTTCTGTGGGGTCCATCGGGTATCAAACCCCTTATATAGATTGTTACCCGCGCGTCGTCAAGTGAATCTATAGCAAATAAGTCAGCTCGACCTACAACTGCATGATTACTTTGCTGGGTTGCTGTGAATTAAGGAACTTAAATCAAGTTACCATAATAGGCATGTACAGTAATTAATGTGGGCTCCCCAATATAATGACTTCAACTGAAATCCTTAACAGCAACCCAGTTTACTTTCTTGCCTAGGGCCTCAAAGTGTCAGGTTCATCTGCCTTCCTGGCAAGGACCAACGTCAAGCAGCCGTCTGCGCGCGCAAGTACTATACAAGATACCTCATTGTTAAGGGTACAGAAACCCAAAAATAGCCCACCTCTTTTGGAAACTCTGAGCGACCAACAGTCAAGCAGCATCTGCAACAACCCCACACATAGCGATCTACTGAAGATCCGATGCTTGGGGCAGATGATGATCAAGCATGCTTACCTTGACTTTGCAAAGAAACCTGCAAACAAAATGAAAACCCACTTTGGCAAAGAACATCTCAACTATCCCACGCATAAGTCGAGATGGAGTGGTCAGAGATTCCGACTTCCAGCACCTTGTTCCATACCCCTATGACCCTGCATAGTAGGTTCCATTTTCCATTATCCCTATAATACCCCCCTATATAACCCCAATATAGTCCTAATATTACCCCAACTTCTCCCTCCTTTGCCACTCCCAAGCTGGCCTGAATTGTCTGCATCTAACACATGGAAGAGCTCCGCAGCATCGGCCTTTGGCTAAAGGTCTAGAGTTCCAGGGCTAAACCCTAAACCCTAAACTTTAAACCCTAGACTATAACCCCTGAACCCTGAACCCTAAACCCTGAACCCTAAACCCTAAACCCTACGTTTTGGAGCTCTTAGCTCTCATCTGGCAGTCCCCCCTATAATCCTGAGGTGTAAACCGCCCACTCATCGCTGCTGCAACTTTGACGGCAGGACTTTAAAGGGGGATTCTATGTGGATGTATAAGGATTAGTAGGTCCGTTAAGAACGGGGATTCTATAGGGCTGAGCGGGAAAGCCCTAGTCAAATATCATCCCAAGCAAAGGTGTTCTGAACCAAGGGCTAAACAAGTCTCGTCTCTCCATCAATATCACATGCAGTTGCCTAGCAGAAAACTCAGGTAGGCCATCTCCGTAAATCAGGATCGCTCACCAACAATCCCGGAACACCCAAAGACAAATTTCATAAAACCGCGAAGGCCTAAGAAGGGTAAATTCAGACATTGCAAGGGCTTCTACGTGTTCTACTATAGAACATGTAGAAGCCTTTTCAATGATTGAATTCACCCTTGAAACAAACAACTAGACTGGAGGGTGGCAGGACAGATGGTAACCAACTCAGGAAGTTGCAGCGTTGAGAGGCGCCAGACATGTCTCCAAACACTCTAAAAGAATTAAAACCTCAAGGAAACTGCATGCCAGCACCAACTTGTTGAACTGGCGTGTATGGTTCTGATGGCCCCAGAAGCTCTCCAATTTCTAGTAAGTGTCTGGTTAAAGTGAATGAAAGTAGGCAGCTCCGATGCACAACGCGCCACGGAAACTGATGAATGATCCCCACCAAGATTTGCAACCCTACTGCCCCAGTATCAGCGCACACGCAGCTACTGTTGGGTGCAGACTTACTAAGAAAACAGCGACTCCAGCAAGCAGTAAGCTCCAAATTCAGTCAGGGGGCTAACCACTGCTTGCGTTCTTTAAGCAGCTCTGACTGCACGACAGACTCATCTGTCTTCTTCGTGACCTTATTCCAGGAAAGGTGCTTCTCTACAGCCGGCGTCACTCTGACTTGAGACTTGCAGAAACAGCAGTGGCAACGACGGTGGTGGCAGCGGTGGTTGTCATCAGGATGGTGATGGCACAGCACAAATTGAAACTAGCAGCAACAGAAGCGGCGGAATCTGGATCATACGAACTCACCAGCAACATAGGAACGTCCCAGCAGACTTTGCGTTACTGCGCTACCACAAATCGCGAACAACAAGCGGCCCGCCTGCGCAGCTTCAACAAAGATGCCCGTCATGACATTCAGGCAGCAGAACACCTCAAAACATCAATGTAATAGTGATAGTAGTAGTACTGGTAAAAGTAATAGTAATTGCCATAGTAATCCAGTAAATCATGGCAAGCCATCACATGTGGTGCAAGGGAGTACATGCAACACGGCTGGAAATAACATGAAGCATGAACCATGTACGTGTTTAGCAGACCGCTACCATTAGGCAACATGAATAGACACATCGACCGCAGGCATCCAGTGTGTGCTGTATGATGAAGCAAAAAAACCTGGACAATCATGCTCTTTATACAGTGGCGAGTATCCCTGAATCCTCAACCACCCTAATCCCTAAACGACCCTAAACCTTGTACAAGCCTTAACCCAAAACCCTAAACAAGCAAAACCCCTAAGCCCCAAACCACCTTATATCCAAAAAACCCTCAAGAACCCTGGAAAAGCCCTTGACCCCCATAGTAAACCCAAGAAAGTCCGAAGCCAAGCCACTGTGCAGAAGATGTAGAGCAGGAACACGAGGTCCAGAAGCCAATGGATCTCACTGAGGGGACTCAGAGCCTCTTTCCACAAGATGCCACCTCCAGGGGGGGTTTAAAGGTTTAGGGGTTTAANNTTTAGGGGTCTCTAGGGTTTAGGGGCTTGGGATCTAAGGTTTATGGCTTAGGGTCTAGCATGTAGGAGTTTTTGGATGTTGCGGGTGTAAAAGTTCAGGGTCTTCAGGTCTAGGATGCAGAGTTTAGGCTTGGTGGTTTCGGGCCTGCAAAGACTTTCTAGAAGAAAGGGCAGCCACGATTCACTCCTAATATCCCAATTAATAGGCCCTGTAAAAATCTCCTATATAATCCCCTATATAACCCACTTTAAGGAGTTTAGACTACAGTCCTAGGGTATTTGTTGTAGCGAAAAAGGTTCAAAGCGCCAGCGCAAGACCTGTCAGCTTAAGTAGGATGTCTTTCTCGGCATCCTAGGGAAAGACCTACCTTCCTTCAATTCCAGCTTCTATCGTGTAGTGTAGACACATTCACATTTGTGTATATAAGCTAGTCTAAGCTCTAGTATCCCCGTTAATATGCCCTGTAGTAGTGCCTTATATAATCCCCGGCATAACCCCCTTTAAGGAGTTTAGACTGTAGCTCATAGAAGCAGCATTCACTTCCACTCGGCCCCACCCTGAAACCGGGCCTGAAATTGTCATGAAGAGTGTGAGGACAGACCGCGGCAACCTCACAGAAGTATTCCATGCAGAACTTGCTAGGGCTTAGTAGGGAAAAAGGGAATATACTGTAGAGGGATTGCAAAGGATTATTCCCTTATTCCCTACTAAGAACCAGGAAATGAAGAAATGAAGTCACCTGCATGTCTTCTGCGTCTTCATAACAAAAAGCCGCCAAGTCACGTACCGTAGTAGGACAACAGGGTAGTGTTGGTGGTGCCCGTCTCTTCCAGGTGAGCTCGAGATAGCTGCATAAAGGTCACTCCGAAGAGATATGTGACCTCAGAATACGGAGGCTCGCGGGCAAATTAATAAGGGGATTTTGGTAGCCCGATTAGGACCATATAACCCTCATATAATGGTCCTAGGGTCCTACTTATGGGGGTTCGGGTTACCTAAACCCCCTTATTATAAATGCCAACTCTGGAAATCTGCTGGGCCAGCTGCCAGGGAGAGGAGAACCTCGGTTGTCGGACAACTCATCAAGAGATGTGGAGGTTTTCGCGATGCAACTTGACATATCCTGCCCCTGTCCCTGGAAAGAGCCCTGGAACGAAAGAATATTCAGACTGTAACATACTACAACATACTATAATGTTGTACAATCTAGTATTCTCTATATATACATATATATTCTTCTATACTTTTTCTACTATAATATACTGCTGCTCCTTTGGCTTGCAGCCGGAGGGCTATCGACCACAGTAGCGCCCGCGAGGAGGCCTTGATGCCGTTGACCATGACGCGCAGGTCACTGAAGAAGCGCACCACCCGCAGGATACGCGCGACACCTCGGAGGGCGAAAACTTGAGAATGACAATGATTCGCTGATATTAGTTACTATATATATATAAACATATATGTGCCCATTATGGTAACTTGAGCTAATCTCCTTAACAGCAACCCAGTTCACATTATGCCCAAGCAGCGGAGAAGCCGAGCCATCCGAAGCAATCGCAAGACAGACCTCAGTTTGCAGATTCTACTGGCCTTTGGTCTGCTGTGACAAAAGGGACAGAGAGCAACTGCCTCGACATACTAGCCGTTTTCTGAAGGCACTCAAAGCAACGCAAGAACAACAAAAAAAGATGATGGTAGCGATTATGACGATGATGAGGAGGATGAGGATGCTGACGATAACAGTGATGGCCTACATGATCTTAGCAGGGATACTAGGGTTTAGGGCCTAAACCCTACACCCTAAACCCCTTTTTGGGGGACGCCCTTGCGGCCAGCCCACACGTCCAGAGCGTCCACCGAAGCTTCGCTGGAGGCGATGAGGAGGATGATCTCTTCGAGCCAGGCAAACCTTGGCAAGCCGTCTTAAGTAGAAGAGGCTTGGGGGCCCTATAAAAAAGTATTGTTTATGACTTTATGAGGATTATATAGGGATTAAGGGCAATAGAATTGAAAATGATTTTCGACCTACCCCAGTTAGAAGCTTGGAAGCACTATGCTTACAGAGCTGGCACTCTGGGGATCAGGACTTGTCGTCAAGGAGTCCACTTACCGTTGCCATTCTACGACGGCTATGATAGCCATGAGCTTCTTTCTGGGAGACTTGTGGCAGAGGCCCTTTACCCTTAACCCGCAAACCCAAGGCCCGAACGTCACCAAGAAGATGTCAAGCAGGTTCCAATACCTCGGCGGGGGTCAGCGTTTCGGGGCTTAAAGCCAAGGCTTTATGCTTTTTCTGTGGCTCTTCTGAAGTAAAGGCTCAGGACATACGGATCTAGTTTGACGAGGGGTGGTCGGGTCGTATCCTTCTTCCCAGGAGGGAAAACCTGTTGAAGCTTGCCGGCGCTGGGTGCGGGGGCTTTGAATGGGTGTTCTGTCTCCATACGGTAAGCATTGCAAAAAATGGCCGTATGCATGCAAGCGGCAGTGAGGGGTTCAGGAAGGAAATGAAAAACCTGCGGTCAGCCTCAGTTCATCTGCAATTTCTTGAGGTTGAAGGGGTGGGCACAGGGAAGTTTTGTGGTTGAGATTTTGGGTGTAGGGCTCAGGGTTTGGCACGTGGGTTGGGTAGAAACCCTCATGTGGTGACTACTCTGTTGTCAACCAACACGATAAGCAGACAACACTAACGGCAAGCAAGGCTCTATCACCCGGAGCAAGAGCTCGACCGCAAAGCATACGTTGCAGCAGATGTCAAGTAGGCGCAGCAACCAATGTGGCTCCTTGCCATCAGCTGCAGAAGCTACTCCTTAAACCCCAAACCCTAAAGCCTTAATCCTTAACCTTGTACCACTCCTTTTGGGGGCTCCTTGAAGTAAGGATCTCTGTGTCTTGCCTGGTATTCAGAAGGGACGCTAGTTCCTCGAAAAAACATGTGGCCTGTGGCGTTTACCCATCTGAAGCACAGTGTGTGGTACTGGCAGCAAGTGTAACAACAAGCCTCCCAAATTGTCAAACACTAGTCCCCGTAAATCCCTGCAAAATCCCAGCGTCCACTTGATTTTCCATTTGATTAACCAGTATTGGTGCAATATCCCATAATCCCAGGCATTTGTGACTCACACGTTGGTCCCTTGGGGGATGTTCTCAAATATTGGAGGCTGCATCATGCAAGTAAAGGCCAATGTGCAAGTTTTTGTGCGGAGGACCCTGATTGCTTACGAGCTACCGATACCCGAATCCTGGCCCAAACTTGCAGAATCTTGCGCCCAGACACAGCCCCATGACTCATGCCACTCTTGGGCTCTTCCTAGGACTTAGGGTCCTTTGATGTCCCAACTACATGGCTTCCACCGTAAACCCACAGGACCCTAGACTCCCTAGACCCTGGCCGGTGCCTGGTTCAGGTTTTCGATGCCCCACTGGGCCTCAATGCCCACCAAGAGCGAGTTAAAGACTACGATGAAGGAGACAAGCCACCTTTGCTCCAGGTTTTGTGGGTGGAATTCTCAAATCAAAGGACCATCTAAAGAGGGTTTCGCATTCAGGGATCTGCGGAAATTATACCGAGATTATTGGGTCCTCTTTCAAGTCGAGATTGTGAAAGAAACATTTTTAAAAGCTGTTGTTGAGTTAGTTGGAGGAGTTCTGTTTGATTGGGGTCAGCTATGTTGCAGAAGGATGCAGAAGGACCTAGCTTTGGGCTGTATGAAGCTGAGGCCTTTCAGGACCGTCCCGCGGCATTCTT